GGGCGCCAGCGGCTACCCCTTGGTGCTGCTACTTTTTCTTTTCTTTTCTTTTTTGTGTAAACGCTCTGAGATTCAAGGTATACAAAGTTCGCTCAGCAGCAGTTAGGAATCTGGGTCCCGCTGGGGAGAGAAACCGGCCTTTTCTTCTCTTGGGTTTGGTCTTCCTACACATCACAGAACTCCTTGCAGACATTTCACACTTTTTAAAAAGGTAAATGGGTTTGGCATCGCCCCTCTAGGCTTTAGACACATCAAAGCATTCTTCAAAAGAAGCAAAGGAGTTTTCCCTGGGCTGTTTTAAGATAGAGCCTTCACTCTGCTAAAAAAAAAATAAAAAAAAAAAACCTGATGGGCTTATCTAAAAATTAATAACTTACTAAGGGAGCACATAAGAAGCCATGAACCTTAACGGCGTATAATGGTATATTGTGTGTATGTATTTACACACACACACACATAATGTCATGTATGAGCCATTATGCTCCCTCCTGTTAAGACTTGTTTATGAAAAAGGCATATATACATAAATACTAATAATAAACATACAGTCTATATAGACTGTATATTTAGGTTGAGAATCCCTTATCCAAAATGCTTGGGACCAGCAGTGTTTAAGATTTTGAATTTGTTTGGATTTGGGGATATTTACATACACATAATGAATATATTGGGGATGGGATCCAAGTCTAAACACAGAACTCTTTTATGTTTCATGTATACATTATACACACACCTGAGGGTAATTTTGTACAATAGTTTCCTGTTGCAGTGTTTGGACTGCTACCCATTAAATGAGGTCAAATGGGTATTCCTCTTAGGGCACCATGTCAGCACTCCAGAAGTTTCAGATTTTGAAATGAAGGATGCTCAGCCTGTATGTGTATAATGGTGTGTGTGTATGTTTGTGGTCTGTATATGTATGTATAGTGTGTGTCTATGTACATGCACAAACTTTTACTCTTCTGTGCTTAGAATTTGAAAGAATTTTGTTGCAACTTTGGAGCAAGTTTAGATTTAATATTTTCTCTTTACTCACAAAGCTGAATAAGTGATTTTCAGCCATTCAACTTAAATTCTCTGAGACTGATACAAAGGTCAGTCTAGCAGCTCTAGCTAAGAGGAAGGCCCCCTGGGAGAAAGTGTTTGCGGTTCTCCCACTCCTCAGCAGATCCTCTTTGAAGTAAAATCAACAAGGAAAGTTCAGTTGCCAAGCAAAAGCCAAAGCATAGTTACTTCTACAAGAAAAGTAACCCTGCATGTATAGCAGAAGAAAGAGTATTCTGTGTATACGCACAGATTTTTTTAAAGAATTATTTATTTTATTTTATTTATTCATTCATTTACTTTCTATATTGACGAGAAAGAGAGAGAGAGAGAGAGAAAGTGAGAAAGCAAGCACTAGATCCAGGACTTAACCATGGTTAGCCACGTGGGAGTATCCAGCGCCTTAACCATCACACTACCTGCTGGTTCCTATACATAGATTTTTTACCACTTAGACTGTCAGAGAAATAGCAAAAGTAGCTCCAAACTATACGCCCCAAAGAAATTTCATTTGCTAAAAGCCCTATCGATTATAGTTTGCCTATATGTAGTTAGGAAGAACACTGTAGGCTTATGGTGGCCTTTATGAAATTAGCTCACAAATTACAAGGTAAGAAGAAAGAAATTAAGTTTTCCAGGGATTTGGTACCTTTTTCTGCCCCACCCCCACCCCCCTTATTCATGGTAGAGTGAGGATGAGTAATGTGAAAGAGAAAAAGAGATGAGCACCTTCCACAAGGTCTGACCATCTAGCAGTCCCCTTCCTCCAGTCCTCCAGCACACTAGCTCTTCAGCACTCACCAGGTTTCCGGCGTGTTCTCAAGCTGACCAGGCTGGGGTTGCTAACTGCAGTCACCATGTGGGATCAGGCTTCACTTGAGCAGCCCCATGGAGCTGGCTGGGATTTAGTTTTATCTTGGTGAGAATGTTAAAAATCCTTAGAGAGCAAGAAGAACAAAAAGGTTTGGGAACCTGAGACTGAACAGATGAACTAACTGCTTACTCCCAAGGGAAGCTCCACTTTCTATCTCCATGAGAAACACACCCAGCCCTTCCATTTCTTCCTCCAGCCCCTCCTTCTGCCTTGGAGATATATATTTTCAGCCAAGAAAATAGTATTTCATCCATTCATCCATTCCTGTATTAATTTAACAAAACTTTCATTGGGCTTCTACTCAATGCAGATATAAACCTTTTTTAAGATATCACTAACTGGAGGCAAAACCTTTATTGAGGTATTACAGGGCCTGTTGGAGGTAAGAGAATGACTTTTGTCTTTCTCTCTAACATCGTTTCGGGCTCACAGTCAAGGGGTAAAAAATAAAAGAAAGATACATGATAATATAAAATAGTAAGGGTCTTAATCAAACTAGAAGCAAAGTTCTAAAGAAGAGGGACAGGGCCTGGCACAGTGGCAGGGCAGAGGGGCAAGGGGACAGAGCACATCAGACTGTATATTTAGGTTGAGAATCCCTTATCCAAAATGCTTGGGACCAGCAGTGTTTAAGATTTTGAATTTGTTTGGATTTGGGGATATTTACATACACATAATGAATATATTGGGGATGGGATCCAAGTCTAAACACAGAACTCTTTTATGTTTCATGTATACATTATACACACACCTGAGGGTAATTTTGTACAATAGTTTCCTGTTGCAGTGTTTGGACTGCTACCCATTAAATGAGGTCAAATGGGTATTCCTCTTAGGGCACCATGTCAGCACTCCAGAAGTTTCAGATTTTGAAATGAAGGATGCTCAGCCTGTATGTGTATAATGGTGTGTGTGTATGTTTGTGGTCTGTATATGTATGTATAGTGTGTGTCTATGTACATGCACAAACTTTTACTCTTCTGTGCTTAGAATTTGAAAGAATTTTGTTGCAACTTTGGAGCAAGTTTAGATTTAATATTTTCTCTTTACTCACAAAGCTGAATAAGTGATTTTCAGCCATTCAACTTAAATTCTCTGAGACTGATACAAAGGTCAGTCTAGCAGCTCTAGCTAAGAGGAAGGCCCCCTGGGAGAAAGTGTTTGCGGTTCTCCCACTCCTCAGCAGATCCTCTTTGAAGTAAAATCAACAAGGAAAGTTCAGTTGCCAAGCAAAAGCCAAAGCATAGTTACTTCTACAAGAAAAGTAACCCTGCATGTATAGCAGAAGAAAGAGTATTCTGTGTATACGCACAGATTTTTTTAAAGAATTATTTATTTTATTTTATTTATTCATTCATTTACTTTCTATATTGACGAGAAAGAGAGAGAGAGAGAGAGAAAGTGAGAAAGCAAGCACTAGATCCAGGACTTAACCATGGTTAGCCACGTGGGAGTATCCAGCGCCTTAACCATCACACTACCTGCTGGTTCCTATACATAGATTTTTTACCACTTAGACTGTCAGAGAAATAGCAAAAGTAGCTCCAAACTATACGCCCCAAAGAAATTTCATTTGCTAAAAGCCCTATCGATTATAGTTTGCCTATATGTAGTTAGGAAGAACACTGTAGGCTTATGGTGGCCTTTATGAAATTAGCTCACAAATTACAAGGTAAGAAGAAAGAAATTAAGTTTTCCAGGGATTTGGTACCTTTTTCTGCCCCACCCCCACCCCCCTTATTCATGGTAGAGTGAGGATGAGTACATGTGAAAGAGAAAAAGAGATGAGCACCTTCCACAAGGTCTGACCATCTAGCAGTCCCCTTCCTCCAGTCCTCCAGCACACTAGCTCTTCAGCAATCACCAGGTTTCCAGCGTGTTCTCAAGCTGACCAGGCTGGGGTTGCTAACTGCAGTCACCATGTGGGATCAGGCTTCACTTGAGCAGCCCCATGGAGCTGGCTGGGATTTAGTTTTATCTTGGTGAGAATGTTAAAAATCCTTAGAGAGCAAGAAGAACAAAAAGGTTTGGGAACCTGAGACTGAACAGATGAACTAACTGCTTACTCCCAAGGGAAGCTCCACTTTCTATCTCCATGAGAAACACACCCAGCCCTTCCATTTCTTCCTCCAGCCCCTCCTTCTGCCTTGGAGATATATATTTTCAGCCAAGAAAATAGTATTTCATCCATTCATCCATTCCTGTATTAATTTAACAAAACTTTCATTGGGCTTCTACTCAATGCAGATATAAACCTTTTTTAAGATATCACTAACTGGAGGCAAAACCTTTATTGAGGTATTACAGGGCCTGTTGGAGGTAAGAGAATGACTTTTGTCTTTCTCTCTAACATCGTTTCGGGCTCACAGTCAAGGGGTAAAAAATAAAAGAAAGATACATGATAATATAAAATAGTAAGGGTCTTAATCAAACTAGAAGCAAAGTTCTAAAGAAGAGGGACAGGGCCTGGCACAGTGGCAGGGCAGAGGGGCAAGGGGACAGAGCACATCGTTGTCTCTACACGAAGTCTGCACATCTGGAAACCACCACAGCTGACTCTAGTGAACAGAACTGCTGAGCTCTTCTGTGTGACTGACCTTGATCAAGTTTCTTAATCTCTCTTTAATCCTTACTTTATATAATAGTATCTCTCCCCAACAGAATTAAATGAGGTAATGTTTATAAATGGATTCATCTCAATTCCCAGCACTACGAGCAATTTTCAAATGGTAACGCTTTATCTAAAGAAGAAAACCTTTCTCTAAAGATAGCTTATAAAAGAGCATGAATAGGATGACTGCCGTTGACCTTAGATGTCTAACAGACAAACGCTGACTGGCCAAACATTTAGCAATTTATGACGTGGGGGTACCATGATGTGAGCTCTAATAACTCTATCAGTAACTACTTGGATATGGCTTTCTTAATTAAATTCCTACCCATTCACA